TGAACCGTCCCCCAGCACAGCCTGATCTGAACTGTCCCCCAGCACAGCCTGAGCCGAACCGTGCCCCCAGCACAGACTGAGCTGAACCGTGCCCCCAGCGCGGCCTGAGCTGAACCATCCCCCCAGCACAGCCTGATTGAGCTGTCCCCCCATGTCGAGCCAAGTGGAGGCGGGGCTCACAGACACATGTGGGGTCAGGGGGCCGGCCAGGAAGCAGAAAAGTGGGTTCAGGCCAGCAGGAGACCCAAGGACAAAGGTGAGTGTGCCAAGGACCCGTGGTGACTCTCAGTGGGGCTGACCCTGGCTACTTGGGCCAGCCCTGCCAGGACCTGGGGGCCCGAGTGCCATCGCCTCGCGCCCTCGTGCGTCCTTGCCCAGTCATCCTGTAGCTTCAGGCCTCCGTCTGGTCATCTTAAGTAAGCCTGGCCTGGGGGGTCCCTCCTGACGGGCGTCTGGGATTGTCAGCCCCCCAATGTCGTGTGGACCCTGCCAGCCGCAGGTGAGGAGGGACGCTCGCCTCCACCCACCCGGGTGCATTCGGGCTGGCAGGGGCCTCAGTGTGTCCTTGAGGCCACAGCCCTGTCCTCCAGGATTCGGGGGAGCCTCCCCTCACGGTGCCCGTGCTCTCCTCTCAGCAGTGGTGACTCTTCAGGCCCCTGTCCCACATACCCGCTTAGCTCTGGGTCCCGTTGTGACGTATAGACTCACGATCTGCAGCCAAGAGGACGCGATGACACCAGAACTCTGACTGCATGTGGCTGATGTGGCTTTTAGGAGTTAACCCCACAGCTGGGTGGGGTAATGGGTGGGGTGATGGGTCCCGGGACACGTCACTGCCATCCGAGGAGCAGGACCTGAAAGTAACGCAAAGCCCCTGGTGCCTGAACATACTTTGTGGGGTTTGGTATTAAAAAAAACAAAATAATCTCAGTCGTGGCGGAACCATTCGGTGGTCAACCCCCACCCAATGCCGGAACCTTCTCTGGGACCCGCTGCTCCAATGCCCTCGGCAATGGCACCCACAAGCCATGGGGTATGTGCTCTCTGTCCCACAGTCCCATCAGGCTCAGCAGGGCCACGTCTCGCTGTGGCTTCACACCCGAGTCTTGGTCTCCTCGTGCCCTCCGCTGGGTATTGTGGCTCCCGGAGCCCCACGTGCATTGTCACACAGCCGGTTCCCGTGGCTATTCCTGCCCTCGCCCTCCCGGGGTCAAGTCCTCCCCTTCCTCACAGACGCAGGGCCGGGGTCCTGACGGCAGCACGCTCTGCACCAGAAGAAGTGCCTCTGGGCTCCGTCCACTGCCTCTTGAAAGAGAGAAAACAGGGATTTCTGACGTAAAGAAAGAAAACACGAGGCTGAGAGGTGAAGCGTTAGTCCAGGAGAAAGGAGCAGGTGCCGACCCCGCATCAGCTCATTTACCCCCTGCTGCCTGCTTGGTGGGGGGCGCCCCAGACTAGTGCTTCCCCTTGAGTAAGGGGGGCTCATCTCCACAGTACAGGGGCAGCAGGTCCACTGGCTCCCAGAGGCCGCCGGGCCTGGGACTCAGGTCGGATCAGGGCAAAGCCGGCAAGTGGACAGAGTGAGGGATGCCCAGGGTTAGGGACGAGCACAAGACCCCCTTGGCTCAGACCCGTGGTGCCGGCTCTGCGTCCACCCCCTTTTAGGCCGGGCCACTGAGCCCTAAAGACACAAGGAGCAGAAACCGCCAACACGGAGTTAGAAAGTTTTCTGTAAATAGTTTATTTTTCCATATTTTTGGGTCAGAAAGAAGCATTTCGTAATAAAAATAACAGAATTATTTTCAGGTCGGCTCTGTGGAGCCCAGACTTGCTTGGGACATCGGGGTCAGGGTGTGGTTTCGGGTCACCAACATCAGTCCTGGACTATTTACACGTATGTTACAGGCAAAGGGAGGTCTCAGAGGAAGAGCGCGCGGATTCAGTGTCTGGGAGCTGCTCAGGGTGGCTGGGCGACGGGCGCCCCTCTCCTTCCGTGTCTTGTGAGGAGGCCTGAGCAGAGCTCTGGGCGTCGTCTGCAGCGGCACGTCTAGGGAGTGGCCTGCTCAACCGGGGGGCAGGAGTGCGAGGTGATGTCGCTGTGCTTATAGGCAGCCTCGTCCAGGTCCAGCACCTTCCGGTTGACCTCCAGCGTCATGCAGCCGCGGTAGAAGGCCGTGACGGGTGCCGAGGTCACCGGCACGTCTGGGCCAGCGGGAAAGAACAAACAGCGTCTTAGGGGCTGGCACCCTCCTCTGGACTTGGCGCCCCCCCCACCCCCGCCCCACGACCCCACCACAGTGCTCAACGGCACCCGTGGGCCCCCCGGTCCCAGGCCTTTCCCCTCAAGGGCACTCTCCCTTTCATTCCAGAACATCACCATCCTGGCCGGGCCACGTGCCCAAAGGCAGGCACCACACCTCTGCCAGTCAGGCCTTGGCAGGACAACCGCTCACCCCCGGGAAGCACACACAGATCGTCAACTCAATTAAAAAGGATCTTCTTCTCGGCCCAGATGAGTCACTTGCGATGCAGGCCTCCCCGGCCCCCTTCACCCTCTTCACAGCCTTGTTTGTTAAAGCCAAATGGAGCCTGGTCTGGCAGCCAAGACAGACAGCCCGCTCCCCGCGGCAAGTGGAAACCTGCACTGAGTGCTGGGGCCAAGGGGTTGACATAGTGCCTGGCGCTCTCTGCCTTTCTACCACCTTGCCCGTCACGAGGCTCTCGGCCACGGGCAAGCACACTCTCCGTCTGACCAGACATGAGTCCCTGGTCTGCAGGAGGGGCTGGTGGTTACTCTGTCCACTGCCACAGCAGCTGGACGCCAGGACTCAGGGGTGACACTGGCTGGGGCACTGAGGTCCACGGTCAGCTGGGCCTTCCCCACAGGCCTTGGCCAGAGCCACTGTCTGACGCAGGCTCAGGTGGGCGCTCCTGGAGGATGCAGGGGAGGTGGGGCAGGTTCAGGCCAAGGCTTGTCCCAAGCGCGTTCTCAGCCTCAACGGATAAATGCTAGGCTGGTGCTGATGAACATGAAGGCACGCAGTCCCAGCCAGTAACTCTACCTGTGTCTTCTCTTCCTCTAAAACAAAAGTCCATTTCTGCACTGAAAGGCCCAGGTTCAGTGTGGGGGATGGAGGTGGGATGGTCAGGACAGCCAGTGCCCCAGCCCCGAGTGACCAGCCTACAGGGAGCCCTACCTGGTAGCCCCCCAACGAAGGTGAGCACGGAGCTCTGCAGGTGCCTCCCGAGGACGGCCAGCCTCTCCTGCAGCCCCTCGGGGCTCACTTCGCTCCTGCCCTTGGTGCCATCGACCTCCAGGGCGGCCTGGCCCTCCTTCAAGGAGACGCTCACCACGTGCTCCTGGCCGTCACAGACCTTGATCTCCATCAGGGCCAGGGCCACCCTCTCCACCGCCAGGACCACCAGCTGCAGAGGAGAAGCAACCTCAGCACGTGGGGTGGGGGTCCCTGTGGGCCGGGATGTGAGGGGCTCAGGGGGCCTGGGCTCCGTGTCCAGCCACTTGCTGGTGTGTGAATTAGTTTCTACATGTGTAAATCAAGGAGGCCAGCCCGGAGGCCTCCATGGCCCCTTCCCATGTGATAGAGGACAAACAAATAAAGCCTCAGCACCCAGGCCAGGAGTCAGGAGGGGAGCACATTTCAGCCACCCAGACGGTGGGCACCGCCTACAGAGTGGACTAGGAGCCATTAGTGCATCCATGATCCCGACACAGGACATGGTTGCTTCTTCCACGTGGAACAGCCACACAAAGCCAATGACACAGGGCAACAGCAGCAGCACAAATGGAAACAAGCCAGGAGGCAGCTGACCCTGCAGCCTGGGTGCTGGCGCTGGGCAGAACGATGACACAGAAGAGAAACACACTCTGACGACATGGACAGAAACACACTCTGACATCACGGACAAAAACACGCTCTGATGGCACAGAACAGAAACACGCTCTAATGACACGGAACAGAAACACGGTCTGATGACACGGACAGAAACAAGCTCTGATGACACGGGACAGAATCACGCCCTAACAAGGGCAGGCTTGCCCTCTCCTCCCTCACTCTCCCGCTGGGAAGGTGGTCACCACAGCTGCGTGGGACCCCAGCTCTTTGTCCCAAATGCCGGTGCTGGTGTGAAAGCAGCATAGACAGCGTGTGGATCATGTCTCGGTGGTGGCGGTGCCCAGTCCCAGGAGCAGAAGCGCCCACCCGCCCTCGAGGGCAGGTTGACAGGTGACCACGTGCCCCCTGGGCCTGCCACGTCTCCCACTGTGGACAGAGGCGAGAGGACAGAACCTGTTTCCCTCGCCTCCTGGCTGCTCTCCAGGAAAGCAGCAGGTCCGAGGACCAGAGATTGCTGGCTCGGGGTCGGGACGGCAGAGAGTGGTGGGGGCTGCTGAGGGCGGAAGGGCTGGCTGCAGGGACTGGGGGCCGCCGTGCTCAGAGCCCAGCCTGTGTCACTGAGAGCGACGCCATCAGAGGGTCCGGGCTGTGTTTGCGCACCGGACTTTTCAAGAGAAACTGGAAACTGATTTTGTTATCTAAATCTTCTGACGTAAGTATGAGCGACTAATTAAATCTGTTCTAAACCGCTGAGCTGGCCAACTGCATAGGCGGGAAAGTCACCCACTGCGCAACTGGCTCGTGGCCCCGGCTGCCCCGGCCCCTCATGGCTTTGCCGCTGGCTTTGTCGGGCGATCTTGTCTCAACAACCTCCCCGAGCCCAGCACGGCTGGTCAGACTGCCGAGGGAGACGGGTGACGGTGGGAAGGGACCTCTGGGGAGGCAGGGAGTGAGGGAATGGACCCCGGGAGCAGCGGCAGGGGCCCCGAGGGTGGACGGCCCACCCGATGTCCACTGGGCGTGGTGGCGGCAGCTCCACTCTCGGGGGGCAGCGAGCAGTACCTGCTTTTGGAGCTTCTTGGTGGAGTGGTAGTCGACCAGGGCCACGGAGAGGGCGACAGTGTGGTTGTCGCCCACCAGCGCCAGCAGCACCCCCGTGTCGGTGGCGGGGCGGATCCGAGCCACGACCTCTATTTCCCAGGTTGTCTCGGTCCCGACGTCCGGGGATGTCCGTGCTGCGAGGAAGGCGGCGCACCAGGAGGTGATACAAACGGAGGAAAGGCGGGAGTGAGCGGAGGGCGCCAGCCACAGCTCCAACCCTGCTGGGCGGTGGGAGACGCCGGCCCAGCTGCGGAAAGCAGGTGGGAGCCAGAGGACAGCGCAGTGCTGAGGCTTTAAGAACCCATGACCGTCGAGCCACAGCGCGTGCACAATGGGGACTCAAGGCACCTGACTCGGGTTGTGGCCCGGGCCCCCAGGATGCCCTGGGCTGTGCCAGGGCCCGCTCCCGAACGCCCCTGCTGGAGACCCCCAGGCCCCAGACCCGCAGGGCTGCCGGCGCCCACCTCCCTGTCTCCCTCCCTCCCTCTCCCGCAGGGCCCAGCTCTTTCCACACAGTGTGTTAGACTCACAGCCCCCAATCCCACCACGTCTCCCCTGGCTCAGGCGGGGCCACCGGGTTGGAGGATCTGTGATGTGAATGGAAACTGCGGGGAGCTGTGCTCCTAGAGACCACTCACAGCTTTCTATCCTGAGCTGCAATTTCTTCACTATTCTCAGCGGGGTGACTCTCACTTAGATGCAGTATATACACATGTAATATATGCAATAAACACATGACATAAATGGTATGACAGATACCATATCAGTCACTTCTCGGTAATTTTCCATTGAACTGAATGCACAGAGAAGTGGAAAAAGTAGCCAAAAAAATATATGTATATATATCATTCTCCTCGCTTGTCAGGTTCTCCCTTTATCTGTGAAGGAAGAGAGTTCTCTGTGGGGCAGTGTCCCATGGTGGGTTTAGGTTCACGGTCGGTGGGCAGAGCGATTTTAAAGGCACCGGAACCTCCGCTCTCTGGGGTGCAGAATGGGGTCCACCCCGCGCCCCTCCCACCGCAGGCTCCTCAGACCATAAGACCTATGAGCCACACCCATTTGGACCTGCTGCAGACTGAAAGAGTGCAGACTCTGTAATTTCCTAACAGTCTTTCCCTCTGTTATAAAATGGGCATTAATGGTATAGTTTAAGATTTACTAAAAATACATAGAGTTCTAAACACCGTTTGGCCTTTGCTGTCATAGAACTTACAGACGAAGGCCACACGGCAAGAACGGTGAGCAGACGGTGAGACACACAGTAACGGGAGTGTCTGTGTCACTGCAGATCACACCGCAACGTCTGTGCTACAGCACGAAGAATGGCATAACGTCAAGTGAAGAAGAATCAAACATTCATATATGATTTACATTAAACACTCAATGGTGTTCTAGATTCGTATGAGTAAAAATGAAGACTAGGGGAACACTGTGTCTTGTACCCAGTGGTGTGATCAGGAGTGAACAGTTATTCTCAAAATTACCTTTGATGACGTGGTTATGCTTCAACAGTTGAAGCAAAGACACACAGGGGGATGGTGACCCGAGGTCTTGAGAGGATGGCCCTTCTTGCTAAGGAGGGAGGAGCGGGTCCCATCTCCTCCGGCCTTGAGCACGGAGGTCCCCCGGTGCTGGAGGTGACGTACGGCAGTGAGGTCTGGAGGGGGGAGCTGCTGCCTGCCCTCCTGGGCTGATGAGCAGGGGGAAGTTTAACCATAAAAACCTCTGAGTCTAGGAACAGAGCGGGACTGGGAGTGCCCGGGGGGACTCTCGCAGGTGGGAACGTGGGAAGGGGCAGTGTAGAGCCAGAAATCGCCCCAGGAGGGTGGCCGTTGCAGCAACGCCCAGAGCCTGGGCAGAGGTGGGCTACGGAAAAGGACCAGGAGGAGTTCGCAAGGAGCCTCCTGGACCAGGGTTCGGCCAGGAGCAGAGAGACTCAGGAAGGCACTGCAAGAGCTTTCAGACACGTGTGGGCTCCAGGGGCTGGGAACTGGCTGAAAGAGTCTGCACGATGCTGTGCGGGTATCTTCCTGGGCCCGGATGCTCGGCTCTCCTGCGACTCGAGCTGAAAGCCCCTGAGGTCCAGGAACCCAGGCACAGAGACGACACCACGGGCTCCAGCGGTGTGTGCTCAAGGAGCAAAGGGTAACGTTACCCTGATCTAAGGATGAGGTTGGGGGGATCCCGAGAGCCCAGAGTCAGACAGAATCATGCAGCGTCCATCCCTGACCCAAACTGTCCTCACCACCGTCCTCAGAACTGTGTCTGTACCGTCGAGAATTGACAATGTATGGGATTTGGAACATTAACTCATTTCACGTAAAGTTGACGTTCAAGTGACTGCTCAACTATCAGCGTGATAAGCTTGTTTTATTGTAAATTCTCACTAATTTGATAATAAAAGGAAAGAGAGAGTTGTGTTGTGTTTTGTTCTAAGAAATTAAGGGCCCTGCTTTGCAGAAGCCGGGGTGCCTCTGGGCCGACCCTGTGCCTGCTGTAGCCACACTCACGCCCTGGACGACCATCGGTGATGGACAGTGATGCCCAACAACCGGGCCCACCCCTCAGCACCCCATACACCACCTCAGTGTGTCCAGACGGCCCTCGGGGACCCCCGCCCAGTCCCGCCCCCTCTGGTCTGCCCCATATCTCCTGTCTTCTTTCTGCTACGTGCCAGGATTACACGGGCTTCAAAAAGCCCTGTTTCTTCTGCGTTCATTCTATTTCTCCAGGTAGAAGGCAAAAGCTCCTTCATTACTTCCAACGCTGGCTTGATAAGCCTCAGTCCATTTGAGAACATCAGCCTTCCTGGCCAGGCCACACTGCCTGTACCCATCCCGGACGGCCCTGTGCCCCAAGTCCGAGTCCCCTGGAGCCCTAGAGGCAGCCACACTGCGGTTCTCAGACACTGCCCCCTTTCATTCCTCGGGAGTCACGGGTGATTGCAACGCCAAGGACATCTCTGAGAGCTTCTCCATCCCCTGGGACACGCCTAAGCTTGTCTCGTCCCGGAACCTTCTGTGAAGCACCCTCTTAGATCCGCCACGTCTCAGCCATCACAGGCCAGCAGGGGGCCGTCTCCTTGCCAGCTGTCATTTCTTCCCACTGGCTACCTCAAAACCAAGACCAGGAGCGGCCACCCTGAGAGGTGGGGCCTGCGTCCACCCGGCTATGTGTGGCCCCAAGGCCAGCACGGGCACCAGCTTGTCCCTGATGCTGTCATGTAGGTGGCAGGCATTCCTGGTTCATCTGTCTGCTAGTGTATATTGGCTGAAAGTACAACCGCGCCCACAGAGGAGCCGAGACTTACCGTAATCGAGGCTGTAGAAAGCAAACCCGCTCCCGGGGAAGAAGGACCCTTTCTCTGTCACGGAGAAGCACTGCATCTTCACGTTCACCTTCACTGTGTCTTGGATGGTGGTGTCCTCACCATTCAGCCAGTTCCAGCTCCTCATACAGCCATCCAGGCGGGGGTTTATCTGGAAAGACAGAGAGCCCAGTGGCTTCCTCAGAGCCACACAGGCTCCCAGACACCACTGCAAGAGGCCATGTGGCAGGTGCCATCCCGCTCAGATGGATGGGGCGCCATCTCGGCTCAGGACCGTGGAAATCCACTGCAGAATGGACCCCTCCTGCTCGTGGAGGTGCTTTACTTCACAGGATGATTTGCTGCTGGTGCCTCTGAGTAGAGCGCACGCCGTGGCCCTCCTTCCACGCAGGTGAGGGTCACACATACCTGTGGTGAGGCCCACCTTCTCCCTCTGCAGTGGGTTTCCCCCCTTGTGACAGAGTGAGGCGCCCTGACCAGTTGTCTGACAGGATGTGAGATGAGGCATCACCTACACGGTAGCTGTGCCTGGTAGTCTGACTGGCCCCCAAGTCACCCGCGGAAAGGTGAGTCCCGTCCCGGGAATGCTAATCACAGCTCGGCCATCCACTTGCTACATGGTTTTGAGCAAACCAGGCCCCCTCAGCCTTGATCTGCAAAACGAAGAGGGCTGCGGGGTGTGAGCGGTAACTCCTGAGGGAAGCCTTGGAATGGGGTCTGAGTGTGCGGTCAGCGAGGGACGCCCCTCCACCAGCCCCTGGAGGGCAGACGGTGCGAACGCCACCCCCGTTCGGAACCTCCACCCGCTCTGACTCATCTCGTCTCTGGTGAGGAAACCACAATCAAGACACGACGGTTCCGGCCACTTCGGGCAGCGTGTGGGGAGATGGAGACACACGGATGAGGGCCGGGCACGTGGTGTGGGGTAGGGTGAGTACGGCAGGACTTTGTAAACGACCAGTACTGATCTCCCTGTTAGGTCTTTTCCCCTACGGAAATCCTGGCAGGGTTAACCACCCAAGTGTTCTTAGGAATTGTCCAAAACAGTTGATTGTTCTTTTTGTTAATGAATAATTTCATTGTGTTTTATCTCCACTGCAAAATAGACATTTTTATTACCAATTCAGATGAAAGCTCACATGAGTTTCCCAGGAAGAGAGTGAGATTAATGACATGGCTCACCCTGCTGCCTGCTAACCTCTGAAACCTGTGCCTTCCAGACCTACGGCAGCTCACAGCTAAACCCTGTCCTCAGGCTGACCCCTGCTCTGACCCCGGGGACTAACCACGGTACTTACAGGCTGGACGAGGTCTTTCTCCTTGAAGGGAATGCCTCCCACCGTAAGGTTCAGGTGGTACAGTCCTCTGTCCAGCTGGAACAGGTCCCCAGCCACCGCTATCTTCATAACAGCGTCCTTGTTCACTTTGACCACTAGGTTCCGCTCCAGCTCCTCAACAGAGATCTGAAGAAACCAGTGCTGTGAGAGGTGGGCATGCACCTTCTGAAGGGGCTCCCAACCTTGGGGGGCCACTCTCATCACCACCGAGGACCAGGAGACTCCCAACCCTGAGGGACCATGCTCATCACCACCAAGGATCAGGAGACTCCCAATCTTGTGAAGACCACCTCCATCACCACCAAGGACCAAGAGAAACCCAACCTCAAGGGGGACCACCTCCATCACAACGGAGAACCAGGAGACTCTCAACCTCGGGGGATGATGTTCATCACCTACACAACCTCCCTGCCTCCCTGTGCCAGCACAACCTCCCCTCAGCCTATGGTGTGGCTCCAGGCCCTGATGGGTTCCCTCCCATCGCTGGCTTCCTCCTCCTCGCTCCTCCTCCTCCAGGTGAACCTGCCTGGAGCCACCCTCTGCTCTCATCTCTCCAGGCTGTTGGTCTCAGCCAGGGAGCTGCCTCCAGGGAGCGGGAGTCTCGCCTGACCTCACCACCCCACTCAGGTCAGTCCTTGTGTCACTGCTCCCTGGCTTTGGCCCTTCGCTTCTCCTGCCCCCTCAGCTGTCCCTCGTCGAAGAGAGGAGAACGCATTTTATTTCTAAGTCTGCACCAGTTAATTCCATGCCTGGTGTAGACTGAACACTGAACGAACAACTGAGTTCATTCTAAAACTTTCTGTTCTCTCCTATGTTCCATGGAGGAAAATTTAAAAATCTCTCTCTCTCCACACTGTGTATCTTCCTAGCTGTGCACTGGGGGCAGGGGACAGGTTAGATACGGCAAAATGGAGAGCAATTACCACTGAGCTGACCCTGCTCCGAAAGGACCAGGTCATGACTCGGGTGGAGTGGCAGCTGTGTCCATCGGCTGTCACGCTTCCTCCCTGTGGGCACCATCCCAGCCCCACAACCTCGGGCACCAGATTCCCACTGTGGGCACCTGCTTCCTCAACCCTGGAGGCTGCTTCCTTCCAGAGTCACTGTCTCATCTGCACTCTGCTGAGGCGTCCCTCCCCCCGTGTGGGAGACACTTGCACTTTAAGAGGGCAGGAAAGAGGGAACCAGACATCCCTTGGCAGGATGGAAACACCAGCAAACGTCTACAGTGTTTTCATTCGCGGACGCCAGGGTGGATTTTTCCATTTTTGTCTTTACTTCTAAATGCTTTTCCCATTTCTCTTTCAAGTGTTTACTTCTAAAAGCCCACTTCCAACTAGTGGGCCCCTGAGTTTTTGGAAGGAGGCTGTGTTTCACAGACAGCTTTGCTCCAGGCACTGGGAGGCAGGACAGGCCATGTGCTACAAGGCCAGCAGCCGGTGGGACGGCTGCCCCAGGGGCAGGTCTAACCAGGACCAGACGGCCAGACTGTGCTGTCAGGGCTTCTCCACACAGAGGTACTGATGTGAGCCCGTCTGGATTTCAGCAGAATGGAGCAGGCCTGGAAGCCAAGGCCCAGATGGTCGACACCTCACCTCTGACCCTGCCCTGCACTGTAGGCGAGCTCCTGGAACCTGCTCAGACTCTGTGGACACAGGAGCAAGAAGCCTGGGCCTTGGCCCAGGGCTCTCAGCGTAGGCACTACTGACAGTCACAACTGGAAGGTTCTCTGAGGTGGGGCGTCCTGTCACTGCAGGGTGTCCAACAGCCCCCAGCCTCACCCCAGCTGCCAGAAGCCGCCCCCCCAGGCTGTGACAAACACTGTCCCCACACCCAGCCCGGTGTCCCCAGTGGGGTCGCCCTGCCGAGAACCACGGTGTTCACGGCAGAAGCCACGCTGATTACGTGATGAGATGTCAGCCCATCAGAGCCCACGCCTCCCGGGGTGGGGGCTTCCTGCCACGTGCAGTGCCCACAACTGTTGAAGGCGTGAGAGCTCTAGCGCACCTCAAAGCCCTTGGCCCAGAGCCTTGCAGGGCCGGCCTGGGGAGGGCAGCAGGGCCACACTCACTGTCTGCCACATGCCGTGGTTGATGATGGGCCCGCTGCTGGTGACGCGCCCGACGCCATGGTAGCGGAGCTGCAGCTCCAGCCGGCCAGCCCGCAGGCCCAGGACGATCCAGCTGCTGTCCTGATGGCCTCCAGCAAAGAAGAGAACACCTTCAGGGTCAAAGGTCCTGAAGTCGAACTCGGCCACCAATCTGAGCTCCGAGAAAGAAACAGGTTACGCCCAGGCTTCGGCCGCCTTCACCAGGAGTGCTCACACCGGCATTAGAACGAGCAGCAGGGGAGCAGGGCGGGCCACACAGCAAACCCAGGCCAAGGCCCCTGCCCAACACCCCAGGAACCGTTCCCGAACCCCAGAAGCAGGGTCTGCGGCTCACACCGACCCAGAGACCCAGCACGGGACTGCGTGGGGGCTGCGTCTGTGCCAGGATGGAGCCCACGGCCGGGACCGTTCAGGGGCCCGCCCGGGGCCGCAGGCCTCAGCGCGAGCAGCTTCCCAGAGCCATGAGGAAGGCCGTTCCCCAGCCTGTGCTTCTCGGAGCTGCCTCTCACCTGGTGGGCTGCAGCCTCTTGAAGCGCAGTCTGATCACGGGCGTCCCGCTGAACATGCGGCCCAGGTACAGCGACTTCACGCTTTTGGCCACGTTGAAGGGCACGCACGGCAAGATGTCCTGCAGGATGGGAGTAGGGGCGTCGGGCGCGCCCTGGTGCAGCCTGTGGACGCTGGACCAGCCCTCTATCCTCCCATGGTGCCCACCTGCCCGCCTGGCGCCCAGGCGCCCTGGGCCCGCGCAGGAAGTGCGTGGACGCCAAGGCCGATTCTTACTGGAACCCGCGAGATTCTGTTATGACCCGACCCGCCATGGGGGGCTCCAGGTGGGACTGGTCTTGAATCTTTCCAGAAGCCTGGGGCTCCTGCGCTCACAGGACATGTCCCACATGCTCCTCCCGGTGCCCACCGCCCGCCTTCCTCCTGACATCCCTGCTTTTTTCTTAAGTTATGAAATATTTCAGACACAGGAAAGTACAGGGAATAATAAAAAGCAACCGTAAAATACTGTAATAAGTAAAATGGGGAGGCCTTGAAGACTGTTCTAGAATGTTCCCTGCTCTAGGAGGTGGCTTCTCCACTGCCCAGCGGGACCACAGCAGGTTCCAGAGCCCCCAGGGGCAGTCAGGGCCAGGGTCAGGAGGCTCTGACTGCACGAGTGGCTCAGAACCTGAGCAAGGTGACAGGAGACGTGTGCCGTGTGCAAGTGAGGCTGCATCCACACCGCCTGTTGGCCGTGGAGTCAGGGCCGCCGCAGCGATTCCATCAACACAACGGGACCACGCGGCCCCAAGGACACCAGGCCTCTCAGCAAAAGCATTTCTCCCGCAAACTTAGCCCTGGCGGTTAAAGGGCCACAAACAGAACAGCGTGGGCAGCCCAGGGGGGGCCTGTCCCAAGGGCCTGAGCGTCCAGCGGGGCGGGCGGGGCGCTACCTCACAGGTGTTCATGTCCTGGGACACCTTGAGGCCCCCGCGTCCGTCGCAGTGGCAGCTGTAGCTCCCGGGGGAGTTGATGCAGGCCTGCTCGCAGCGTCCCTCCGCGCACTCGTCCACGTCTGTCGGCCACAAGGGAAACATCCCAAGCCTCACTTTGTGGACCCACGAGCTCTGATCACACATGTGGTGCATTCACTGTGAAGACGAGCCCTAATGGGTGTGACTCAGACGGCCCCACCCGAGAGCGCCTCCCTCCTGGCTCCAGCCATGCTCAGCGCCCAGCCGTCCCAGTCGGCCCAGACGTCTGCTCGTCCTCTGCTCTTTCCAGGAGAGCTATCACTGAACTAGTGAAAGTAGGGTGTGGAACGGCCCACATGCTTCCCGGTCAGCGTACAAAGTATGTCTACGAAACGCTTGGCCTGAGGGTCTGCCATCAGCAGGAGTCCCTGGGGGTGCTTGAAGGGCCTGAGAGATGGCCCTGGAGGGGAGATGGAGGAGGTCATGGCCGTCAGGGCCCCAGGCAGGAAGACGGTGAGAGATCCTGTCCCTCTCTGGTCCCAGCGGGGCAAGTCAGATCTCAGAGGCTTGATCCCCAACGCAGTGGGGTGAACTGAGGGTCAGAAAGAACTCCGGGGGTGGCACAGGAGTGCAGGGGCATCTCCCTGTCGAATCTTCTCTCTGTGTCTGTGGCAGGTTGGAGAAGGTACCCGGTTGCATCACAGGCACATGTGTGTGTGTGGTGTGTGTAAACATGCATGGGCATGCACATGTGTGTACGTGAGCCTACACTTGTTCCCATGTGTGACTGTGGTGCACTGCATGTGTGTGCGAGTGGTGCCGTGGTGGGGGGGGAGGACCCACCTTGGCAGGCCATCTCCTGGGAACTGAAGGCGTAGCCCTCCTCGCAGAGGCAGGAGTAGGAGCCGGGCAGGTTCTGGCAGCGTGCGTCTCCGCAGGCGCCCGCATCTGCACATTCATCTACATCTGCAGGGAAAACCAGCGGACACAACCGCAGCTGTCTCAGGTGGACAGGAAAGACGCAGTGGCCCAGGTGGCCGGCAGGGAGCCTGGAAGCGGCTGCCCTGGCCATCAGGCTGAGAGCGGCTGAGAGCCCTCTGGCTCTGCAGAGGGAGCCTCTGCCCCGGCGGGCATTGCTCAGCTCCCCTGGGCCCGACTCAGCCGCCCTCCACTCCCTTCTGTCCACTGGACTTTGCAGCTCCAGGCCCAGGAGCAGAGGTGGGGGTGGGAGCATTTCTGATCAGGGTCCCCTTGAGAAGGTCAATTCCAGACGCTGGACAGGGCCGCTGGGCCAGGATGCACACATCATTGTTTTATTCAAATGACTGCAGTTCAGGAAGGTAGAGAAGTACCCCCAGGGGCGCTTTGAATGGAAGTCCACCCTGCGCCCTGGAGCCCTGCGCTGCCCGCTGCCCACGCAGCCTACACTCCGGGCTCCCTGGACTGTGCCTCCATCACTTTGGGGTCGGTCTCCCTGTCCTCACCCCCTCCCCTGGGCTCTGTCCATTGGAAGTCCGGCCCCACGGTAATGATAAACCATCCGGCTCTGTCCCGGACTCTGTCCCAACGTCCCCGTTCATCCTGCCACCGGTGAACCACCAGCAGGGAACCCTGCAATTCAGAACCCATCTCCTCCATTGACAGAAGGAACATCCGGAAAGTGCAACCGTTAACTTCAATCAACACGGCTCCTCAGAAGGCAAGAAGAAACCCTGTATCCACTGTTCACACCCTGTCACAGGGCAGCCCACCAACAAACACAGCTTCCAGCAGGGACACCAGGAGACATCGCTCACGACTGTTGGAGGAGCCAACACAAACGGCACGAGTCCCCGGGGAGGCTCGAGAAACCGACTTGATCAGCGCTGATCCGTGGAGCTCCTCCTGGACTTCATTTCAGAGCCAGGCTGGCCAACCCCGCCTCCGTCCAGGCCTTAGACACCCGCTTCCCCTGAACAAGCACAGCGGTGGGTCCAGACAGCACTGCTGCACCGGACACACACACACACACACCCCATACACACACAAATACACACACACAGATGTACGAGTGCACACACACATAGACACACATGCACACACACATACACATGCACGCGCATACAGACGCATGCACACACAAATACACGTACACAGGCACACACATACCATACAGACACACACACACACAAACACACACACCGACGTGCACACACACACACACACAAACACACTGCCCCCCCTGCACAAAGGACGCCTCGTTAGCGCCAGCTCTCTGACCACAGCTGATAAGATCCTGCCACAATCGCAGGAAAAGCTCCAGGACCACCTCTACTGGCTCCGGGAAAGCTTCTGCTCTGGGCAGATGACCAGCCTTTGGACGTTCCTGAGTCGGCAGCCAAGCGAGTGCCTAGCGACCTGCCCCCAGGGCCGGGCATCGCTGATGGGCACAGGGGGTAAAGCTGGCCTCTGACGGCCACTCCATGATGCCCGAGACAAGGGTCCTCCAGCCGCGCTGGGCCAGAGCCCCTGCTGGGTGTGTCAGACCCCCACGGCCACCCGCCACTTTCTTACTCAGAGGCTGGGAGGGCCCAAGAGGCTGTGTTTCTCACAAGTTCCAAGATGCAGAGCTGCTGGCCCAGGACACGCCTGGGGACCGGGACTCACAGCAGCACCAGGAAAGGGCCCGGGAGCCTGTCCTTGCCCAATCCCAGCAGACCCAGCGAGGGGCCATCCCTTCCCCCACGACAAGCAGTGGACAGAATCCCACCAGACCACCTCGGCCCCGAGTCACCTCACTTTCTTCTCCCATGTGGCCGCGTCGCCACAAAGCCTCCTGTGACTCGGTGGGTGGAGCTGGGGACCCAGACCGTGCCCTGCCCCCTCCTCGGGGCCTGCACAACCCTGGCCCTCTCCGCTACCTCCTCCCCAATCCTCGACCCTCCCGACACTTTGCCCATCGAAGATGGCACCATCCAACCGTTAAGCACAAAGCAGCGACCCAGGAAAGCAGACGCCGGCGGGTGGGCGGGCGGTCGTGGGACTGGGCAAGGTAAGTCCAGGCCCAACCCCACTGTGTACAACAAGGCCAAGGGGCCCACTGGCCCTGACACAGGTGCCTGCACCCCCCCAAGTGGGGCCCTCGTCTGCTTCTCCCCCAGCAGAGGGGCTGGCCACACAGCCACGGGCCACCCGCTCCTTTCCTGCAGCCAAGGAGGGCTGGCGGAGAGGCCTGGGCCCTGACCCCGTCAGCCCATCGCCCCTTCTCGTGCTGCCCAGGGGAAGCCCTTGAAGCAGGGGCCCTGCCCCCTCCCCCAGCATCTCAGGGTCGGACCAAGGAGGACACAATGGAAAGGCCAGCCTCTTCCCTACCTCTGCGACAGGGCTGGTCCTCATTCCCCCCCAGCCTCTCGTGTCCGGGTCTGGGGTCCCAAGGTCCCAAATAGTGCCAGCCAAGAGAAGGGTGGTGTGTGGGGGTAAGGCCTGCAGGCACACCCCGAAACTCAGCTTCGAGGGCGGGGCTCCTCCATCACACTAGTTACTCATCAGTCACGCTAACGAGAGCGACCGCCAGGCGCAGAACCCCACCCACTGTCCCACACGCTCTTCTCGGGGGAAAGGCAACAGGAGGCAGGGTTTCTCCCAGACCACCAGAGTCCTCCTCATGCTCCACAGACCTGGTGGGAGGTCGAAAGTGGACTAGAGATTCGGTCACTCGGGGTCTTCCGAGGAGGTTAAAGCAGGGCTTCCCCCTTGGGGCACAGTGACTTTGTCCAAAGAGCATCTAAAAGCCAGTGCGGGCCACCGTCCCCCGCTGACGAATCAGTCTGGGCGCCCTGAGAACTCCCCTGGTGGCTGCAGGTGCCTGAGATGCCAACCCCAGGCTGAGGAGCTCCCGGTGCACGCAGAAAGGGAGGGACAGGTCCTCAGGTAACGGGGAGACCACTGGGCATGTTAGACACTCCCCCCAACAACGGGGTGTCCTCGGCTGCTCTTAAAGACGAGGACACTGACCACAGGGAGCAGATCCCTGCCTCAGGCCATGACCCGGCCCCACCCTGACAGGAGAGGAGGGCAGGCACTGGGTTACTCTGTGCGCTCGGATGGGAATCATCCGTGGACGAAGAACACCTCCTGGGTCGTCGGGACGTAAGACACTGACGTGGACAATAAGGAAACTGCTTCCGGATGGGGAGGGCACCCCTTGCCCCGGGAGATTCAGAGACTGGCCAGTGGTGCCAGGCCCTCGGACCTCACTCTGTCCGTCCTGTTTCCCGGGCGAGCTGCCACAGCACTGAAAACCTGCCCAGGTTCTCAGGGACGAGAGGCAGCACAGATACCAGCACGTCTGGATGGGAGAGCGGGGAAGCAAGAAAAAAATCGCGGCCTAAAGATCGCGGCACTGCTCCTGTGCAGCCCTCGACGGCTCCAACAGGCGACGCCTGGGGAGGGCAGTTTGCAGTGACGTCCTGGGCGTGCTGAGGCTGGGCCGCGGGAGCCCCACACTGGACTGTCTGGAAGCAGGAGGGGCACTGGGGGCTGAGCTGCCCTCTGCTTTCCTCAGCGAGCAGGCCTCTTCCAGATGGAGGCCGGTGACTGGGGGGCCCTGGGGAAGCCAGCTTGGGGGTGTAGACGGGCGGGATCCCTGGGACCAGAGCCTCTCCCCAGCTCCCTGCCCACGGCCCGTCTGAGATGGCCCGGGCTCCCAGTTGCACAGAAACGCCTGTAGGCGCCGTGGCCCTGGAAGGAGGCCCAGCGGCCGCCTCCCCCTCCAAGGCAGTGAGTGCGTCTCCTCAGCCGGGCCGGCCTCATCCACAGATCCCGGTGAATCATCCCTGGTCTCAGGGCTGGGGCAGCTCCCTGTGGCCGCTGACATGCCCGGGCATGTGCTCTCTCTGTGAGACGCCCTCCCCTCCGGAGCCAAAGGAACCAGCGCTGCCCGGAGAAGCAAGTCTGACTGCCAACCCCAGCAATCTGGGAATTGCAGCCGTAGAGGGAGGAGCGGAGAGGAGGGCGACAGGGAGGAGAGAGGCGGGGAAGCCAGCCGCGGGCTGGATCCAGCCTTACCTCGGCAGGTCCTGCCGTCCGGGGAGAGCGCGTAGCCGCTGTAGCAGGTGCAGTGGAAGCTGCCTGGCTTGTTGGAGCATATTTGGCTGCAGCCTCCGTTCTGCAGGCCGCACTCGTTGACATCTGCACACAGAACACAGAGGGACTGGGGAAAGCCCAGAAGTGACACACGACCCGGCCCTCAGGTTGTGGGGGTAGGGCCCAGGGAGACCACGATGCGCTGGGGGTGGTGACAGCACATGGGCCAGTGCCCACGGGAAGACACGAGAGGCTGAAAGTGCCGGAGGATGGATACAGCTGTGTGGCCACGAGCCCCAAACCCAGCCTGGCGGAGCCCCACGTGCTGAGCTGAGCCCCCATGGGGCACCTGGGGGCAGGGCCTCCCGTGCAGCTTAGCTGTCTCCAGGAGGGGACACAGGAGGCCCAAGGTGGGACAGGATGCTCTACCACAGGTACGGGGCTCCCCAGGGTTCTAACCGGGTCCTGTGGGATTTTTCTTACAGCTTCTTTGCTGACACTGCACAACTGCTGACTCAGGGAGGTCGGAGAGGAAATGACTCTCCTCGTCTCCTTTCAAGTCGATGGGGCTGAGGCCAACAGGGCAGCTGCAGGGCTCCCGTGTGGCTCCCTACGGCCCTACGGTGGCTCCCTCCTTGGTCCCGTCCTGCTCTGAGAGAGGAATCACCGCTCCTCCCCAGTTCTCTCAAGGAGCTGGCCTGGCCCGGGGCACAGCTCAAGCTGAGCATGGACTGCTCCTCGAGCTGGACCGTGCCCGGCCCTGAAGGCAAAGGCAGGGCCTGCCACACCATGTGAACGTTCCTGCTCTTGGGAGGACTTGAGGGCCTGGAGCTCAGGACACCTGCGGGCACCTCCACTCCTGTCTCAGCCAGAACGGGCCAGCGCGGCCGTGTCCCTGAGCCGGCGGGGTGGGAGGTCAGGGTGGGAGAGGAGACAGAGGGGAGACACAGGCACCATAGCCAGGCCCTCGGGCGGCCCTGCAAGGAGGCCCGCCTACGCCCTCACCTGGTCAGTCCATCCATCCGTGGCATGGTGGCCTTACCTCTGTCACAGAGCCGCCCCCCCCAGCCGGCCCTGCAATCGCAGTAGAAGTTGCCCATGAGGTCTTGGCAGGCCCGGGTCCCTTCCTTATCACAGGGGTTTGGAGAGCACTGGTCAGGCAGGTCTGAGTTGAAAGGAGGGAGAAAATCTCCTGAGCGGCTCCTGGTCAGCGGGGAGGAAGCGATCCCAGGGCAGGAGCCTGCTCAGGCGTCCCCTCTACTGGCCTGGGCTGGCTACACAGAGCCCCCACCTCTGGGCAGGAGCGGGGTCACCAAACAGGCTGGCCAGGCCCCCAGCCAGCTCCAGGAAACCCAGGTCAACTCGCAGGGAGCGGCCGCTCACCCATCGGGCCAGGGTCTGGGGGCCGCGGCCCTCGGGGAGCGGGGGAGGAGAGGAGGAGCCTGGATCGGCCCCACGAGCTTGGAACTCCCAGGGAGCAGGTCAACAAACCTTGCCTGACCCAAGGGCCTTCTAGGTGGATGTGGAACATTCCCCCACCCCTGGGGGACGTCCCCACCTTCCCAGGCCAGGCCCCTGCCCACTCAAACCCCCAGCCCATCCACACTCGCCAGCACCCTCTCCACACAGCCTGGCCGCCCCTCCTCTTCCAGAAATCTGCCTGCAGGGGCGGAGTCTGCCCAGGTCCAGGCTGCATTGGCCTCATGGCCTTTAGGAATCTCAGTGGCCATGCCCCAGGCCAGGTCTGCTCTGACCCACTTGCTTGGAAGCCGTCCACCTGGGCCAGCGTGTCCATCACCGGCACAATTTCCCCATTTTAGGGCTCTGCCCACGAGGAGGAGCTTCTTGCAAACACAGCTGAAGCCTCCACACTCAGAGCTCGGACATCGCGGGCAAAAGCTCACCCAGGCGGTGAGAGCAGAGTGCCCAGGAGAAAGAGCCATTACTGCGCCCAGAACTCAGAGAATCCTCTCCTGGCCCCTGGCCAGCAGAGGCAGGCGAGGCCGGAGGGACAGGCCTGTCTGTCCACTCCTCGGCCGTCACTGGCTCAACCTGAAACATATGTGGGTCTCAGAACCCTGTGGGGGGCCCGACCCCACGGGGGAGACAGGGCTGGTGTCTGCAGACACGCACAGCGGCTGAGGCCCTTCTGGGAGGCGGAGACACCCTGGGCGGCCAGCTCAGCAGGTTGACAAACTGCAGGCCCTGGAGAAACAGCAGCCCTGCATGCCCCTGCTCCCAGCAGGTCTCCCAAGAATCTCAGCAAGTGGTGCTGTTCCTGCACCCGGATCAGCCCGGCCCAGACTCCGGGTCCAGACTGACCTCCAGCAACAGGCCCACAGTCTGGTTCTCACAGAAGGAGCCATGTGACTTCCAGCTCCTGAACTGCCTGCGGGTTCTCCCTCCCCTCCCTCGTATAACTTGGCCTCTGCCTTCGCTCGCCGCAGTCTATCCACAGTCTTCCTCTCACGAGCTCGCAGACACTGAACGTCTCCCAGTGACTCTCCGCTGAAGTCGTTTCTCTTCTCCCATCCAGGGTGGTCACTTGCCTCATCCAGCCCCGAAACAGCACGGGGTCCGTGGCTGATCTGTGGCTGGTGTATTCACAGCTAGGGGGAAGGCGTGGCCCTCGGTCAACTGCCTGGTCCCTGTGGGGTGTGGATTTTAGCTGCACCGACAACCGACGGCAAAACTCTGCTTCTCTGCATTGGTTTGTTTCCAGTTGAGGGCAGCCAGGCACATTTCCCCAGCGGCCCTGGACTGTGGTCACCCAGGCCAGTGGCTGTCACAAATTCCCAGGCCCGGGCAGGTGGCAGACCATGCAGTGGAGGAGCAGTGACCCCGGGCACGCAACCCAGGCCTGGCTCAGACCAGCCACACTGACTTCTCTAACACCAGTGTCCACTATCTTTCACAGCACGTCCCTAGGATTCTCTCCAAGGGCCGAGCGTCCTTCTATGGCACCCGCGTCAGCCATTACCGCTCTGTTCTATTTATGAAGCGAAGAGCCTTTGAATAATGGGGCAGGTGGGTAGCGGTGGAGAGGCTGGTCTGACTCCGGGCAACCAGAACCGGATGGCCCTCCGGCTTTTCCTCCCATCCGCGCCACACGGATCTCAAGTCACCATTCATTCCACGGCCTGGTCACTGGGAACAGGCCCAAGCCAAGCCAACAGGACCGCTGACTGTTGAGTGTCTGCTGGTGGGAGGCAGCCCGGGGGACACTCACCACCGACATATCACTTCTTTCTTAAGGTGACTGACGCTCCCAGCCGAACGCCGAGTTTGGGAACACCGTTTCCGCCACAGGGCTTGGCCAGCAGCAAGGATCTCCCAGCAGAGCAGTTTCCCGCTGCCCTGGCATGGGGCCTCCGCACTCCTCCAGCTCACCGAGATCTCCAGTGAGCCCTTGTCGCTGGCACAGACTCAAGACTCTGCGGCCCTTTGTCCCTCAGCCATCCCATGCAGTCTGGGCACCCTGCTCCCCGGGTGACCTCCCGGAGGGCCTGGCTTCTCGGAGAACCTGCAGGACTGTCTGTGAGAAACTGGAACCATGTCTCTCCCCGGGCTCTTCCAGTGGCCTCTCCGTGGCATGCCTCAAAGTGCTTGTTTTGCACAGTTACAGCCAACAAAACGCTCAAGAGTGTTGACCGAGCACAACGTCTCCAAGCGTTTTTGAGATCTTCACATTGCTGTTTTCAGCAGGCGCCGTACGAGTCTCCACCCGTTGGCACACAGGAACCGGGTCCAGCGGTCAGAAGAATGTGGACATGCGTTCCGGGAACGGGGCGTCACCAACGGCTGCTGCGAGCCTTGGGTCAGCCCTGCGGTCCCCATGTCGCTGCTCCGGCCGCCGTGCTCGCTGGAGCGAGGGCTCAACCGTGGGCCGGGAGGGGAGGTCAAGGCCCGTGCCAGGCCTGATGGTTGAGGACGGGTCTGCTCTCCTGACTCCGTCCTGGCAGGATGGCTCTCAGGGCAGGAGGGGTCGCAGAGACCAGGGTGGGGATAGTGCCGGGGTCCGGCCAGCGCCCAAGCCAGGATGGACCCGCTTGTTCACCTGGCGCTCCCAGGGCACTGGACACGGGGCCCGAGGGGCCCACGGGAGATAGTGTCATATTTGACTAAAGGTGGAAGCACACAATGCACACTTGACGTGAAGTGTTGGTCAACTTCGTCTGAAACTTACCTAAAATGTGTAAACCCCCTTTTAAAAAACTCAGGGTCTGCAGGGCCAAGGGGCCAACACCAACCACCACTGGGGTGGGACTGTTCTAGAAGATTCCCACACAACTCCCATCCCTAGAAGAACTCCCCCACCCACCACTGCTGTTTATGGCCCTGTTGGGAAGGTCATCCCTAGGACAAAAGAAAGGAGGGGCCGCTGCCGACGCTCAGCAGATGCCCCCCAAGCTCCTGCGGAATTAAAGCGACACACTCAAAACCTCTGCAGGCCCAGGGCACTGCTGAACGCCCCCTGGCACGCCCCCTGCGGAGGGTTTCTGGGCTGACCAGGATCTGTGCCTGACCCCAGGCCTCCTGACGGAGCTGTTCAGGAGATAAGGGTTTATCTTGGCCTGGGAGCTGTGCTGAAGGAGAGGAAGGAAGGAAGCACTTGCTGTGCTGGAATGTGAACCATCTGCAGGGCCAACACAACGCCTTCTCAGCTGCCTGTGGCTCCCTCTTCCCGAAACTGGAGGGTAACGACAAGTTATGACCTGGACCAGGCACTCAAACCGGGGCCCGCTGTTCCGACGGAGAGAAAGGGCGAAGGGATGGTCCCTCACGAGGAGCGGGCTCACCCCACAGCCAGGGCCATCAGAGAAACCCGAGCTCCAGAAACCCACCCAGGCCCCCCACCGGGCACCGCAGCCTGACACAGGGAGGGGGACTGGAAACGGGCCCCGAGAACATTGAGGGGACAGAGAGTTCTTGGGGTGAGAAAAGGGCCCACTTGGCCCCCAGCTCGTCCCTCCCCCCTGCTGCCCTGGATCTGCCTGCAGGACCCGACGGGGGGCCACCTGGGCCGGGGCTGAATTTGGACACTTTGCAAACTAAGAGAGGATCTCTGAGGCCACTGCTTTCATTTTACCAATAATGGATCACCAAAGCACGGAGCCGTGATGAGCTGCCATGAACACCAAATAAGACTATTTTAGGAAGGAACCATGGAAACAGTGCAGAGCTGCCTGACTTTTCCCCATGGCTGAGGCCTGGAGGCGTGCGGCCGAGGACGGCAGGGCGGCCGTCCCTCCCCAGTGAGAGCTCTTGGGCCCATCTTCCGCCGTCTTCACACGCTGCCCAGTAAGGGCAACACGCGACCCCACACAGTGCCTCAGGTTCAGAGACCTGCCTCCCGGCCAGGCAGCCTGTGAGGGGCACAGACAGTGCCCTGGTCAGGCGCCCTCAGAGGACGCAGTGGACCACAAGGAGGAGGAGTGAGAGCTGGACCAGAGACGGGGCGGGGGAGCGCTTCCTCGTCTGCCAGAAACTGCATTTAGTCACCACATCTGGCGCAAGCAGCTGTGCGAGATTTAGCCTCTAAACATGGGCTCAGGAAACGACTCGGTTCTCCTTCCTCCCACCTCCCAGGCTGCCCGCCACCCAAGAGAGTGGCTCATCCTGGTAAGAAATCGTCTCTGCTCTTCAGACAACTGAGTCAGCCTAACACCGTGAACCCTCACACGGGAATAGCACAGCCCAGGACTGCCGTGGCCCCTCTTGGAGCAGGACACCGTGATTTCAAACAAACAGTGTTGGAACAGGGGCTGCCATCTGGATAACTGAATACGTCCTGCCCCTTCCTCATCACATCATCGGGAGAATTCTAGGGGCTCACAGGTCTAAACAGGAGACATCAGATAACTTTTCTATAATCTCAGGAAAAGGACAGTCTAAAACCCAGGAGCTAAAACTATCTAATAAATTTGACTACATGAGTAAAAAAGAAGAAACTGGTTTAGCAAATTGACAACAAAAAAACTGCTAAAAACAAAAAGCCAAAACAACATGAAGCTGAATCTCTGTGACATTCTCACGTCATGACACTCTGTGACACTCTCAGGGCCCAGCGTGGTCACTGTTGACCCTTGGGGAGGCCAGGGTCACAGGCTGACTCCTGGGGGGGGGTCACAGTTGACCGCTGAGGGGAGGGGCTTGCTCCAGGTGGCCCTCCCTGCATGGACGTGGGTTCTGGCTCCTCAGGTTAACAGGCTCCTCCCGTCTACTCTGCCCCGGCCACTTGGAGGCTGCCCCGGGGGATCAGAGGGGAGCCTGGGCCACATGGCAGCACCACCCTCCCCTTCCCTGTTGAATGGGCCATTTCCTCTGCTCATCTGGGCTGGGGCTGGGGTCTGGAATCCCGGGAGGGGGGGAGTCAGGTAAGGCCTACAGCCAGCAAGTGGACGGGCAGGTGACGGACGCTGCAGCCCCACCGAGCTCCGGCCAGCCAGGCCCCGAGAGCAGCGAGTCCTCCACCTGCCCTCCAGGCTCTCCCTGAAACAGCAGCTCTGACGCCAAGCTTGGAGGAGTCCTGCCCTGCAGCGGCCGGCTGTGCCCCCGGAGCCCGTTCCCCTCCCTGGGGAACAGGTGCTGTCACGATCGCTGACAGGCCCGGCACTGCTGACGTGGCACCCAGACCAGAGCCCGGCCAAGTCAGGCTCAGCTGAGCGGCTCCGCGGTTCTACACATGGGTTAAAATTCATGCAACAGGACACCCAAAACGCCAGGTCTACTGTGTAATAATCTAAAATAATATTGGTAATAAAAAAGACACACGGTGAGCTGAGGAAAGATTTTGCTACCTTTAGTACAAAAGGCTAATTTGCAAAATCTATCAAGAGCTCCTACAAATTGAGAAAAATAGGCGAAGAATGTGAACAAGTCATTCACAGAAAAAGAAATACAAGGTTCTTAAACACAAGAAGTTCGGTTTCACTCATTAGCAAGAAACACATAAACTGAAAGGACTGAGTGTCATTTTTCACCGTTTATATCAGAGGAGATCAAAAAGCTAAAAAAGTACATTAGACTGGCAGGGAGGGGGATGGGCACGCCTGCTCATCCGCTGGGGGGCAATCAGCACCAGATCCGCGACAAAATGAAAGATCCACGCGCCTGACTCTGCAATTCCATTCCCAGGAACTTATTCTATTCACAACTCAGGTGGTGTGTGAACCAGGCCATCACTCTGGCTTTGTTTGTGATGATAAAAAACTGGCGGGGCCGGCCCGGTGGCGCAAGCGGTTAAGTGCGTGCGCTCTGCTGCGGCGGCCCGGGGTTCGCTGGTTCGGATCCCGGGCGCGCACCGACGCACTGCTTGGCAAGCCGTGCTGTGGCGGCGTCCCATATAAAGTGGAGGAAGATGGGCACAGATGTTAGCCCAGGGCCGTCTTCCTCAGCAAAAAAAGAGGAGGATTGGCGGATGTTAGCACAGGGCTGATCTCCTCACAAAAAAAAAAAAAACAAAAAAAACTGGCAATGGCCTAGCAGCCCACCGCACACATTGGTTGACCAAGTATGCCCCCACCAGCGGCAGGAGTTGACGAGAACACCTCTGACACGGAGGATGCCAGACGAGCCAGGACGCAAAAGCGAGGTCAGATCACGAGCACGGTAAGCCACAGTCTGTGTAAAAATGAGAGACTACACACACGCTTTATAGGCCTAGAAGAGTCTGAGAACAAGGGGCTGTGGTGGCCCCTGGAAGCGGAGCTGGACCGGCTGACTAGGTGCAGGCTCAGGACGGGCTTTCTGTTTCCACCCTCGTGAAAGGTTTACACTTCACACCCTGTGCCTATTCAAAAAAACAAAACTACTTGCTTAAAAAAGGAAGTTCAGTGAAAAGGGAGCAGATCTCAGGCAGGTGTTGTAGCTCCTGAAGGTAACGGAAATATTCATGACCCCCAAAACCACCACCAGGCCTAAAGTTACCTAGACTCACAGGCTTTGAGGAACCGGGGAGGAGACAGACTTACTTTGAACGCACGTGACGAAATCTGGGTGTTTGGTGTAGGGAGATCCATATTTACTGATGCAGTCTGCAAGAGAGAAAACACAGTCACTCTGCAGCTACAGGGACGGAACGGACTTGAGAACCAGGATTACAGTCTCCAGCACCTCTGGAGAGAAGGTGATTCGCCTTTACCGGGTGCTACAGTCCTCCAGCAATGACACAGCCCAGCTTTTGTTCAACCGAGCACGTTAACACTGACAGACAGGAACACACCTCCACCGAAGGGCAGAGCTCTGCAGCCAGAGAGCATCGGGGCACCCTGTCTGCAGCCTCTTCGGATGCCCCTTCTGCTCTCATACAGAACTACTGGCAAATTTCAGTAAGTTTTCTGACCACAGTCAGAGAGCTAAACGTCCATTCAAGTCGAGCCCTGTCTGGAAACACTGCCCTTAACTTGAAGGTCAACGCCCTGTGTGCTGGAGGGTGCTCCCTCCCGGTGGTCTGACGTGTGGAGGGGGCGGGGGAGGCCTGGCTTTCTGAGCATGTGCATCCTGGGAGGATGTGACACCTGACCCTGTGCAGAACAGGGGTTGAGCCACTTCACTGGTCCCTCAGCTGGTCCCTGCTGCTCACGCACGCCCAGGAGGACGTCGGCAGGGGCAACAGAGGTACCTGGAGGGTGGCTCACAGTAAACGGCCATCCTCTGCCTTGGAAACAAACCTCCATGCCCAGGACGAGGCCTGCGGAGGCCAACAGGGAGCCCGGAAGCGGGCAGGTTCCAGGCTTTTCAGGGCCAATTATGGGTCCACTTTGCTTGTTGGCAGATACGGACCAAGAGAAGGTACTTCTAAGAGGATATAAGGCCAATGGAAAATTTACCAAAACGCACCTTATAAAATTAAAAAGGAAGACCCTGGAATACATTTCTCTCACTATAAGTGATATGCATCCAGACTCTGAGACTGCTGATGAGAGGAGCAGTCCTCAGGGACGCAGGCCTCTTTCAGGCTCCACCGTCCCGAGAAGACCAGGGGCCACCGCCCTTCAGCCTCAGTGTCTCGGGGCATCCAGCGGAGGGTCCCAGAGCCTGCCCCATGACAACGGCTGCTCCACGGCCAAGACAGCATTGGCTTGAGCATTCCTGTCCCTCACTTTAAACACAAACACGTTTTAATGTCCTCAATTTTAATTAATAATATGGTAATAATCAATAAATCAGCCCACGTAAACGGAAGCCCTTTGGGGTCCTCAATAATTTCAGAAGGGCAGAGCCCTGAGCCCAAAATGGCTGAGAACCACTAAGTCAGTGATGTTCCCCCAGGAGCTGAGCCTGGACCAGAGCAGAGCAGACAGCAGTGCACAGACCCTCAGGCCACGTCCCTGCCACGGACAACCTGGTGGTGACATCTGACCAGCTCTTTCTCCGACATGCAATGCATCCCCCACGACCCTTTATGACAAGAAAGCAAGCAGTGGTCCAAACTTACCTAAGTATCTTGGATAAAAATAGTTCTGTGGAAAGAGAAACAGAAAGATCAACGTTACCGGCAGGATTGAGGCCCCGGATGGCGCGGTCAGCAGGGGGTGACGTGAACCTCGCCCGGCTTCCCAGCAGGCAGAGTCAGACCCCTGGGAGGCAGGCGCTAGAGGACCCGCAGGGTGAGGACCGCAGAAAGCCGCTTTCCGCCTCCGAGCTGGTGGAGCGGGAGAGGAAGCGAGGGGACAGCCCAGGCAGTGACGGGGCTCCCCAAGAACCCTTGCAAAGCCGTAAGTAGCACAACAGGGACTTAGGGCCGCTGGGGGCATCTTGTAGGGGGTGAGAAACAGCCCCCGTCAAAGCCAGGTCTCCAGCCCTGGAGGAGTGGGTGTCCTCGCAGGAGGGGCCCGTGGGTGATCTCGGCACATTCGCTGTGTTTGCAAACAAACCGGCATGGGCGCGGCCTGAGGCCGCAGCATAGACCCTGACGGTGTTGGTTATCTCTCTTTTTTGTAAGGCGAGTGCCTGGAGTGTCCACCTCACGAGGGCCATCTCCACCAGACACCCCGTGGCCGCTCTCGATGAAGAGCCAAGCCGCCTCCCCACAGAGCCCCTTTGCTTTAGGGATCCTGGTTGATTTCCATAGCTGACCATTTGGGCCACTTGTTTTTCTCTCTTCTTGCACTTTAAATTCCTGCACTTACTTTTAAATTCACCGATGAAGAGTGAGCCCTCGAAATCCTAGGCACCCCCAACCCCATAAAAGCAGGACCCCAGGCCCTCGCTTTCCTCTCTCTCCCTGTGACCTCGGACCTCGCTGTGTGGTGCGGGTGTGCTGTGTGATTTCTAGGTCCTGTGAGTAATAAATCTTTATTTTTTCAAAGTTTCCCGGTGGTTATGCTGAGGGCGTCTTGCAATCGTAAGAGCCACAGAGGGTCCAACCACAACCCTGGCTGTTGATCAGCTGAGATGGCACAAAACATGCACATGAACGGAAGTCTCCATGTCTTGAAGGCGAATTAAGAGGCCGAAACGTCCAAGGGGGCTGTTGAACAACAGAACTCCCATCCTGACCGCCAGCAGCAGGCCCAGCTGGGGGTCTTCAGGAGCCTCTTCCTCTGGCCGGACTCCGGGCTGCGGGCTGGTTGAAGGAGCCCCCACCATGCACTCTGACTCCGTCAGGTCGGTCACAGAGCAGTGTGGCCCTAAATCTTCTCCTAACAGAACCAAGTGACGCAGGGATGGCAGCCGCTAGATGCCGGGTGTCCACTGCAAGCTGGTGTGATTCTGTGTTTTCACGTCACTTTGTTTAATCCTCACAACCACCTCGAAGGAAGGCCTTTTACTTAACCCATCGTCACAGAGGAGGAGATCGAGGCTCAGGACGGGCTGGGGCTTTCACTGTGTCTCGAAGCTGGAAAGGGCTTTCGACGGCACCTGCGACCCCTGACGCTGACGGGGCTGGTGGGCTGCAGCCGTGGAAGCCAAGACTCGACCCGGAAAGGACGGAAAACAACCAGGAACCGTGAGTGAGGGGCCCGATCCCACACATGTTTGCATTGGCACAGCCTTCCAGAAAGGGGTATTTCATTGTTCAAACCACGCTAGTTAAGACTTATATGTGATAAGTTTTAATAATGAGTCCATTGTGAAAAAGCAATATTAATAGAAAAACCATGCTCCTCTCCCCTCAGCTGACCACATCCCCGGGAAACTGCAGGTCAAGCCTGGTGACAGTTTATCCCAATTTGTGTGTTTGATTTCTCTGGGGGGAAGGGCGGAGCACGCGCTGGTCGGCCCGGTGACCCAGGGAGGTGGTTAAACCCGAATAGAGCAAAGCTGAGACAGACACACCTCCTGCTCCCTGCTCTCCCAAGACAAAGAGTCACTTCCTGCTGTCCGTCAGGGTCCCGGCCAGAGAGTGAGACCTGTGGAATCGCCGTGGACACAGGGTCCCACCTGCACCACGGGTTGTTCAGCTGTAAACCTTGGCCTGAGGCCTAGGGCTGGTGATGCTCATGAGCAGCACCCAGGAGATCCACAGGGACCTCAGAGAGGCCCCAGTACAGACCCAGGGATCTGTTACCTACGAACTTACCCTGTTTCTTCTCAACCCCACCAACAGCAAGGCCTGCGAATGTGGTTGTGTGAGCCGGTGGGTGGGAGCGGCCAACAGACAGGCCATGATGGGGCAGACCTACCCTGCTGGATGTGGAGCCATTTGTCACCTGCAATCATTTTCCTCGGGGTTTGCCTCCACTTTACTTAAACAGCTAAAGACAGCAAGAAGTGAGCAAAACCCCAGGCCACTAAACCGTGAGCTGTTGTCCAGGAGAGAAGGACAGCATCCATCTGCCCAGCACCCAGCCTGGTGCTGACCAACCCCAGAAGGCCTGCAGGAGCCATTACTGAACATGTGGACGGATGGATGGAGGGATGGATGGATGGAGGAATGAATGGATGGATGGATGGATGGAGGGATGGAAGGATGGAGGGAGGGATGGATGGACGAATGGAAGGATGGATGGACAGATGGATGGATGGATGGAGGGATGGACAGATGAATGGATGGACGGAGGGATGGATGGATGGATGGAGGGATGGAGGGATGGATGGATGGAGGGATGGATGGATGATGGATGGATGGACAGATGGATGGATGGATGGATGGACAGATGGAGGGATGGAGGGATGGAC